TTATTTCAGGGTGGGCAAACACAGCTCAGGCAAGAGGAAAAGCCAGCACAGCCTCAGGGTCAGGCCTGTGCCCACATCTGACACCTTGAGATTTGGGCACAGCTCACCCCAGGCCCGGCTCCCCGAGCATCTCTGCGCTGCCTCAGGGGTCAGCACAGAGAAACACGGGAGAGAACCCTGGATCTTATAAATCCCTCCACAGTGTGTTTGTTTCGGGGTGAAATTCAGTGTTCTGGGCTCTGCTGGGAGGATCTGCAGCTCTCAGATCAGCCCAGCTCTGCTGTTGCATTGGCTGCGAGCAAAAAAGGCTTTTTGACATCGTTTTTCATCTGGTGTGGGTAAAGAGAGGCTCTCCCTGGCCAGGGCTGTGTGGTGATGCTTCTAGCACCAAACAGAACCCACAGAGCCCTGGCAGGATTCGGCCCCTCGGATGACCCAGAGCTCCAGCCTGGCTCCTGATGCTGCTCCATCCCTGCCCAGGGAATCACAGACCCCGCCGTGATGGACTGGCTGCTCAGAGGGAATCGAGAGAGCGGTGCAGATAAGCACAGGACACTGCAGTTCCTCACAGTTCCTCACAGTTCCTCACAGTTCCCCACAATTCCTCAAAATTCCTCACAATTCCTCACAATTCCTCACAGTTCCTCACAATTCCTCTCAAATCCTCACAATTCCTCTCAAATCCTCACAATTCCTCTCAATTCCTCACAATTCCTCACAATTCCTCTCAAATACTCACAATTCCTCACAGCTCCTCACAGCTCCTCACAGCTCCTCACAGTTCCTCACAGTTCCTCACAATTCCACACAATTCCTCACAATTCCTCACAATTCCTCACAATTCCTCACAGTTCCTCACAATTCCTCAAAATTCCTCAAAATTCCTCACAGTTCCCCACAATTCCTCAAAATTCCTCACAATTCCTCACAATTCCTCAAAATTCCTCACAGTTCCCCACAATTCCTCACAATTCCTCACAATTCCTCACAATTCCTCAAAATTCCTCACAGTTCCCCACAATTCCTCCCAATTCCTCACAGCTCCTCACAGTTCCTCACAGTTCCTCACAATTCCTCACAATTCCTCACAGTTCCTCTCAATTCCTCTCAATTCTTCTCAAATCCTCACAATTCCTCACAATTCCTCACAATTCCTTGCAGTTCCTCGCAGTTCCTTACAATCCCTGGCTCTCCCGGTGCCTGTGGCAGGCAGAGGTTCATGGCCAGCAAGGAGCCTCAGCAGGAGGGAAAATAAATCTGTGGACACAGATGGACACGGGCTCGCTGTGGTGCTGGGGACGTGCAAAGACCAAAAGCAGATCAGTATCATCCCCAGGCTCCCAAACACACTCACTCCCCATCCCAATCCGTGCAGAAAGCAAAGGCAGCCCTCAAATCCATTTTTTCCCTTTTTTTAAAAATTTTTATTTTCTTCACAGCCCCACTGTGCTGCTCCCCCTGGGCACTGGCATCCAGAGTTTCAAGGCAGATGAGAGATTTTCACCTTCTTTATTTTTTTTTTAATCCTGAGAAATCTGTGAACCTGCTGAATTCGAAGTGCGGCACTGGTGAAGGGCCAGGCAGTGTTTTTTCTTGAGGCTCTGGGAGCTGTGGTGATAAAAATAATTTAGCTTTAATTTATAGATATTATAAAAAATTACCCCCCACCTTGGCTCCTGATTTCTAATATAGGAAGATTTACTTTTAATGTGACTGGGGTGTCTTCCTCAGCACTGGGGACATTTCTGTTTTTTTTTGCCCCAGTGTTCATGGCTTTCAGCTGCTTCAAGTGATATTTTTTCAAATATTTGGAGGGTTGCTGGAAGTTGTGGCATAGAATTTGTGGGGCCAGGCCCCTCTTTAGTGTTTCTGAGAAAGGTGGTGGGGTTCCAGGAAAGGGCCTTGGCTCCCTCTCAGGGAGGCTGGGGACAAATTTGGGGCATTAATGGGACACCAATCAAACTCCCTGGCTGCTGTGCCCCCGCTGCTGGAGCAGACATTTGAGTAGGAAGCAGCAGAGAAGGTTTTAATAATAGAATCCTTGAATGATTTGGGCTGGGAAGGGACATGAAAATTTCTCTAATCCCATCCCTGCCATGGGCAGGGACATCTTCCACAATCCCAGGGTGTTCCAAGCCCTGCCCAGCCTGGCCTTGGGCACTTCCAGGGATCGAGGAGCAGCCACAGCTGTGCCAGGGCCTGCCCACCCTCCCAGCCAGGAATTCCTTCCCAATATCCCATCTTCTGTCAGCTTAAAGCATTCCCCCTTTTCCCACACTCCATGTCCTTGTCCAGAGTTCCCCTCCTGTTCTCATAGGTCCCACATGGATTGTTTTTACTGCCTGAGGTTGTTCCATTGAGTTCCTCATGCAAACATCACTGGGCACATGCCAACCCCACCAGGATGGCTCAGGAGAGAGGGATGTGTCATCCATCCATCCATCCATCCATCCATCCATCCATCCATCCATCATCCATCCATCCATCCATCATCCATCCATCCATCCATCCATCCATCCATCCATCCATCCATCATCACCTCCAGGATCTCTCTCAGCACCCCCAGAATGGCTCTGCCCATCCCCCATAGCACCCACAGACCCCATCAAAGGTCCCAAACCTCCAGCCACCCCAGGGAAGGGCTCTGAAGGAGGCCCCCACCACCTCCCATCATCCAGCATCAGGTCAAACCCCACTGCCTCCAGCTCCTCTCCTCACAGTCCCCTCCCATTCCCAAAAAACGCCCCAGTGAGGTCAGTGATAGGCTGGAATAACCCCTGTGCTCCTTGTTCCACACTGCACCCCACAGATCCCTCTTCTCCCTGACCCAGGAGCTGCTCTGAGCCCAGGGTTCAGCTGCTGCCTGGAATGGTTTTGGAGCTGTAAGTGGAAACTCGCTGGGATTTAGGTGGCATTTGTTGAGTGTCCCATGGGAGCAGCCAGCTCGGGAGCTGGGCCTGGAGGGGAGGGGATGAGGGGAGAAATGAGAAACCCAACACCCCCCTTGGCTCTGTTGAGGCTTAATTTAGAGCACAGGGGCTCTGCCAGAGTGTTTTTCCATTTCAAGCTGAACGTCTTCCCTTTTGTCCTGCACTGTGCCTTGCAGGGCAGTGGCAGCTGATGGCTGGGGCTGATGGGGGGGGGCAGAAAAGCAGTTTCCAACTCAGTTCCTCTTTGCCACCAGCTTCCTCCCCATTTCTCCCACATGAAGGACTGAAATCCATCTCCTCCCTCCTTTGGAGCCTCAGGGAAGGCAGGAGCCACCCACAGCCCCAATCCACAGCTCTAAATTCCCATGGGATGGGCTTTGACCCCCTCAGCTGATCCTGTGCCCCTTGTCCAAGCAGATCCCAGGGCAGGGAGAGCTCTCCTGTGTCAATACTGTCTACATTAAACCACCCTAATGCAACTTAATTCACCTTACAGCCACTTTGGAAAGCTCCTTGCAGGTAAACTCTTGGCAACAGGCCTAAAGGAAAGGAGGACAATTAATCAAAGATCATTTATTCCCAGCAGTTCAGCTGTACATTAAAATGGGATGCATCCACCAGGCACTTGATGGCTGCTCCATGGAAGAGCTCTGCACACCTCCAGAACAAGAGACAAATTTTGGCTCAGCCCAAGTCTTTGGAGAACTCGTATTTGGAGGTAAGAACTGGCCAAATCCTAACAAGGAGTGGCCATAACTAAATAGTGGCAGCAAAATGAACCTTAACTGTACCCAGCAGTCTGTGCCAGCGTTGTCACCTTTAGCCTGTCACCACCATCAGCTGCAGTGAGAGACTGAAAAAACTCAGAGCTTATCAAAAAAGCTGCCTGGGACACGACTTCTCACTGGATGAGGGTTGTCCCAGAGAGGAAATGCTGGGGAGTCACAGTGCTTTTATCTGAGAGAGGCAAAACAATGGCAGGCTGCAAACTGAAGCCAGAGAAATTCAAATTAGAATCAAAACACAGGATTTTTACAGGCTGGTGTTTATCCATGAGGGGAAAATAAATCACTGAAAGTTCCAAGAGAAGCAGGGGGTTGTGGTGATTTCATATCAGCTGTATCCCTGAAAGAAATGTTGCAGCTCAAGCAGCACAAGTGTGCTGGAGAGATCCTGGGGCTGAGGATCTCCAGTGTGGGGATTTTTCAGGCAGAGAGAAAAATATTGTCATTGATTTTGTTCTCTGAGTGATGGGTTGGGGTCCAGGGGGCTGCTGCTCCCAAGGTCTGCCAGGGTTTCTTACATTTAGCAAAATGCTGCACAAGAATTGGTCTCATCCCTTGAAAACTGGGAACCAGCAAGAACCAGCACAGGGAGAACTCAAGCCAGGTCATGGAAATGCAGGGAGAGTATATTTCAAAATACTGAGAAGCCCTGGCCATTCTTCCCCATCTGACAGGAGACAGATTGCACATTTCCATGAGAAGCAGCTGCTTGCAGGTACAGGCTGCCTAAATAAACTGGTTTATAGTGGTTGGATTCTTTCTTTGATAAGGCATCCAGTGGAGCAGAAAAAAGGAGAAAATGTTTCTGTGCAGCCCCAAACAAGCAGAAGGTTAAAGAAATGAGTGTTGCAGCACTTGAGGTTTTCAGGAGGGCCATGCATCCTGAAATCCCAGTTTCTTCCCTGTGCTTCAGGAGCTGCCTCAGAGCCCTTTTCCTGGAGAGAGGTTTGATCTTCACAGCTTCCCTGGGACAGGGCACAAGGCAGGACAGCAGATGTCTCTGCTCTGCTCCTGGGAAAATATCACTGATTCACATTCCTGTGTAAGTGAAATCAGAACCTGCAGCTCCAAGTTACAGCCTGAATTTAGCAGCCACTGTCCCCACAGCCCTGCTCAAGCAGCTTTTCCAAGGGATCTGCTCACTCCTGCAGGTCCTTAAAATCCCCTCTACAGAGCCACAAGGATGGAGCTGAACAGAAACCAAAGCTATGGCTCGCTCTCCACCCAGGATTTATTCCTCAAGTTGTCCAGAGATGGTTGAGGGTTGCAAGATGTTTTTATCTCTGTGCTGAGCTTATCCCCAGATCCCTGACTTCCTCCATCAGGGACTCCAGGAACTGTTTGGAAACAGACATTTATTGAAGAGAGACATTTCTGAACCTAAGCAGGAAAAAAGACAGGGACAACACATCTGGAGTGACTCCTGCTCTGCTTCTTTCCACTCTGCCCAGGGGAGTCAGGATGAAATCCCCGTGCTGGGGAAGGGAGCAGTGGTTTTCATGCCCACAAATCCACTTTGCACTGGTGGTGCTGGCTGGGGTTAAAGCCTGACAAACTTCAGGCTCATAAAAAGAGGCTGACAAAGCAAAGCAGAGAAAAGAAAAGCTTTCAAGACTTTCAAGCGAGAAACAAAGCAGCACTGTAGAAAAATGCCTGGCTCTCCATTTGCCTGGAATCCCCAAGGCTGCTCTGCACTGGCAGCCTGCATGGCAATGCCTGATTAGCTTGCACTCTGTGTCCTCACTGTGCTGCAGGAGAGAAGGACAGGGCTGGCAGGGTTTGCAGCAGCTCCAAAAGTCCCAGCACTGCTGCAGTGAAGACCTGCCTGCATTTTGTAGCATTTCTTCCCAGAGAGAACAAGATCTGCCTGATGGATGGGTGAATGCAGAGACCCAGAAACAGGGAACTCATAACTTGGATGGCAACTTTTGTATGGAATGAGCTGAATTTAAGGTAGGTGGACTCATTGCATGGGTAATCTGCACATTTTTTCAGTGGAAACTCACTGGAGTTTCAGAAAACTGCTGCCAGGGTGTTCAAGCAAAGAAAGAGGTTGGAATGATGAGAGGAGCCCACCCCAAGCTGATTTGCAGGTAGTCCCAGGTCAGGCTAATCCCATGCCTCAGCACTGAAGTGCTACAGAAAGCCTGAGACAGGCAGGTAGCAGCGTGGGGATAAAAACAGAGCTTGTTTTGTTCTAAGGAAGGGGGCTGGCCCAACTTCTGTACAGCAAATTCCTTCCTGAGCTGATAAAGGCAGCAGCAGCAGATTGAATATCGAGCCCTCTCAGGGAACACTGTGCTGAAGCCTGGGAGGTTTTGCCCAAAATCCTCCTGCAGAATTGCAGCTTCCCAAACTGCACCAACCAGCTCTGCTTGCCAACCCCCACAGACAGAAATTGCTGACACATAAAACCTTCGCTTTTTGTATTTCATCTCTGTTTCTCTGCCACAAATGCTAATGAAATGACACGATCTGAGGCTGCAAAATGACACTGGTGCCTGGGCTCTCTCCCTGCTCTGCAGCCCAAAGACTGGGAATATCTGGCTTAACTTTTCTTTTGTGTGTGCTGCTGAATAGCCTGTGAAAACCTATCACATCCTCCATTATGTCTCGATACAGTTTAAAAATCTTCCTCTTTCTTTCTCACAGTCTCCGCCAGAGCAGCTTTCAGATCTTTGTTCTCATCCAGCTGGATCCCAAGCCTGCAAGGAAACAAAAAGAAAAACTTCCCTGTGAGCTGGGGAGCTTCAAAAGCAAATTTAGAACTGTCACCTCTGCTCCGGGGAAGAAACACTGAAACCCTGGAGCTGCGGTGATTTTATGAGAGCCCTGAGAAAAAGGCTGAGCACTTGTTCCTCCTCTCCCTGAGGGAGGAAAGAACAATCCCGGCATGGAGAGAGGGAGAACAAACCTTGTGCTGAGCTCCTCCACCTGAGATTCCAGGGACAGCTTGGACAGGGCTGCAGGGAGCTCCTCTCTGTCACCCTCATGCAAGGGGAGGCTTGGCTGGGCTGTGGATTCAATCACAGAATGGAGTTTGGGTAAAACAGCAAATCAGTTTTGGCAGAACGCTGAGTTAATATCAAAAAACGCTGAATAAATATTCTGTAAAATCATATACTTAATCTCTCAAATAAATATTTAATCTCCTAAATTCTATGCTACATCCATAACATATCATAAATATATGACAGGCTTATTTTAATTACCTTCCATGCTGAATTTTCATTTCAGGGCTAAATATGTGCCTAACGTGTAGGGAGGAAAACAATGAATCTGTAACATTGAAGTGACAAAAAAAAGAGGTGTAAAACAGCTGGAAATTATTAATTTGATGTTAATTTTGTAAGAGTGTTTCAGATTATGACAGCTGCTGCTTCCTGAATGTCTGGGACAAAGCTTGCTTGTGACACCCATTGAAGTGATTTTTGTAAAGAACTTTGATCCTCAGCATAAACAAAATGTAGATTCTGTACTTCAAGGTGTATTTCAGACCAAGGTTCTAACTTAGAACCTTAGCTTTCCTAAATAAAGCTATATCCAAAACATGCAGGTCTGGTCATTCAAAAAAAAAAATAAAATTCAGAATTTTCAGTGTTATAGAGAAAATACAATTCAAATTTACAGCTGGAACTGAAGAAGCAAAACCTGTGACCAGTGAATCCCCAGAGAAGAAGGGGAACCAGAGAAGTGTTCAGGGAGCTCAGAAAGGAGTGCAGGAAGTGAGCACAGCTATTGCAGAGGATGCTGAATTTAACCCAGCACTGAGGTTAAATTCAGTTAAACACACCAGGGTGATCTCTGCTGTAGATAGAAGGCTAAATAATTTTAGCAAATGTAAATAAATGGCTAAATATCTAAAATAATCAATAGTCAGCACTACCTACCTGTAGCTAGGTATCATGAGATAAGGACTTGTGTGGTTCAGCCCCAAATAAATTATAAAAATCAAAAAAAATAACTAAATGAAGAAAACAAGAGGCTGGAGCTGGCTGCAGTTCTTTTAACTGGGAATACAGCACCATGACAGTGAACAGCCAGGCTGCTTTCTGTGTTGTGATTCTACTGAACCCTGCAATTGCTGGTTTGTGCTTGTGTTGCCATGTTGGCACATTTCTGTATCCCTTTTCCCAATTCATATCCCTCATAACATCAAATATCTTCAAATAAGTACATTTGGTATTAAAACACTAAATCCTCCTCGTGTGGAATTATCTGAAAGAACTTGGTTGGAAAGTACTGAACTCTGACAAAAACAAATGAGAAGAAAAGGCTGCATTGTGTAGCTAAAAAATGCTTTTGATCTTGAGGCTGTGCTTTACAGGGCTGAGGAAAACCTGGTGTTACTTACCTATCCCTCCTCTGGGATTGTTCTTTGATAATTCAGAATTTGGATAAAGCAGGAAAAAAGCACAGAAAATGAAAAGCCTGAATAATTTTAAAACAGAACTGTGTTGTTTGCAGCTCCTTAGCATCATTATCTACTTCCCTTGAACTGAAGAGACCAGAAACATTAGATTAGCAATTAGATCAGCTCTCTCCAATTTTACACTTTCAGAAAGAAAGGAAAATATTATGTTAATTAGCAGGTTCTCTAGTCTCTATTTTGTATTCAAGCTTTTAATTTCTTCTTATTTCCTCAACCATTGGCATGAAGGCATTGAGATAACCTCCATACTCTGCTGAAGAGGTGTATTGCAGACTTGTAGTTCTTGTACAAACCCCAGCTCTGGCACATCACAAAGCTCTCATCAAAGCAGGGGAGTGAAATCGATTGTTACCTACTCATCTCGTGGATTTAGAGAGGATTTCTCCTTATTAGCCTTACTGCCAATCCTTTTCTACTTTTGCTTTTAGTCCTTAAGCAGAGGAGATTAATGAACTAAATATTTGGTGAGAAGGGATCTGTCACACTGGTGAAAACAGCTTCTTCCTCTGGCTCTGAAAACTACCAGAGGGGAGTTACTACACCTTTACTACAGCATGACAAAATTTGACCAAAAAGCCTCAGGACCTGGAGAGTCTGTATCTCTTGGAGCTTGCAAGGGGAATCTGTGATAACACAACACATCAACACTTCAGCAGGTTCTGTAAAAGTCTGAGTACTCAGAAACTCAGTTAAATTCTGTGCAAAACAGCACCAAAGCGCTCCCAACACTATTGGGATCTAAATCTTTCTGCTCTCAGTAAATACAGGTGAGACAACTCAAACAATCAGTGCTCATAAAGAAACAACATGAGAATGAGTCAGGGTGGGCTGGAGCCCCTTCCAAGGACACAGCAATCCTGTTCCAAGGAACAAATCCATGTTTTACAGACAGGAGTGGGTTTGAAGCACCTATTTAATCCCCAATCAGTATAAAGATTCCTCTGAAGGGTTCATCCAAGGTCTCTGCTGAGCTCTGTGGTCCCTCTGGTCACCCTAACTTAGCCTGACACCGCCCCAACATTTGCCAAATTGAAATTCCCCTCCCTGCTGTTCATCTTCTGGCATTTGAAGTCTTTTTACTTTATGAAAATATACATAAAAAGGGAAACCACTGGAAAAATTTCCTTAAGAATATGTGCCATTTTATTGGTTTAGACACTTTACAGAATCAGAATCCTTAAGCAATAAAAGGATCTGATCAGGGAAATAAAAATTTAACATCCACCATGAATTCTTCTTCTTTAACTACGCCAGGGAGGCTTTCATATTTATAGCAGGAGATTATCACGTTCATGGGATAATAAATTACACCAGATCTAATTACTTCATCACCAGCAATAGTTTTTCATAGGCACTGACAGGCCTTAAATTGGGATGTGTCCTTTAATTCTGCTCTTAACCTTCAGCTGAATCCCTCAGGCACGAGTGCAAAGGGAGCTCACAGAGCAGGGGAAAGCTTTTTTCCTGGAATTATCCCACGGAAACACCTTGCAAAAATCCTGGTCCCTCTTAGACCTGTGGGAAAATCATCTTCAATTAAGAAAGGCCAGGGTTTTGCCTCCTGCCTTGCTCCTGGCTGTGAGCAGGTCCCATCAGCAGGTGCAAGGTCACGCACCCAGCTGGGTTTGGCAGGTGGAGCCCGAATGTTGTCGCTGTCTATAAAGCTCAGAGGTGAAATGGGGGATGTGAGGGCTCCCCCTCACCTTTTCTGCTCCTCAGGGCAGGTTTCTGGGCAGTTCTGCTGCTCCCTAGATCCACCTGCAGCTTTTCAAGCTGCTGTTCCAAGATGTCACTCTGCCACCTCTCCTCTTGAAGCTTCTTCTCAGCTTCCAAGACTTTGTTGCTGCTTTCCTCCAACCTGACAGGCAAAAAAAAAGGAAAAAAAAAAGAAGAAAAAAAGAGAGTTCAGCTCATTTGTGTCATGTCTACATCAAATCAGTCTTGGTACTGAATCCTGCTCCTTCCTGCAGAGCTCCCAACAGAAGGGAAAGAATTTTCCATGCATCCAAAGCCAGAAATCCCAGCAAAATTGTATCAGGTGACATCTTCTAAATATGCAAATGAGAATTAACTAATGAGTACAGTTGGAAACAATGGGTTTGTTACTGGAGGTTGCTCAGATCCCTTAATTCTGGCTCCCTATGTGAATTCACCCCTCAGATGAGCAGGAAAGCTGCAGATTGCTGAGGAGAGAGACATCTTTTATTACAGGAATAATAAACTGCATTTTTGAGACACTCTGGGAAAGCTTGGAAGGCAAATAGTTTATAAAAACACAGTCTAACATTTGCGTCAGTTATCTGAGAGGAAGGAAAGAAACTTGAGGCTGCTTTTAATAAACTTGGCCATTTAGACATGACCATGGATGGGAGAGGGTGAAAAAAGAAACTGGTGGTTACATCACAAAAAATCAAATTGCCTCTCTCCATCCTGCATAACCTCTCAGAATATTAACTTCAAAAGTCTGGTGTGCAACCACAGATGCTGCCACTTGGGGCAGTGATTGACACCAAGGAGTTTAAAGCTAAAAAGAAACACAGATTGACTGGATTGGAAAAAAAAACAAACCACTGGATTGGACTGAATAAGAGAATTTCCCTCCTCACCCCATGGGTGGAAGCTGGTTACTCTCTGAATCAAGAGACTTGATTAGTTTATTTTCCTCCTAGCTGGCATAACTAAAAAAAAATAAAATATTACAACTCTAATAAAATTACATCACTGGCTTAAAAATGTACCTCCAGGCAAGACTCGACCTCCTGTGGCAGTGAATTCCCAGGCTGGTGATGTGCTCTAAGACATTTTATTCCTCTCAGTGGTTCTGCATTCACTAAACTTTCATTTGACCCTGGTGTTCCTCTGGCATCCAATTTAAACAAAAAGCAGAGGAAAAGTGGCAATATCTGTGGGATTTTTTAATGGAATCATCTGCCAATAGGACTAATTTAAACTAAAATGCTGTAGAAAAATCCTACTTGCAGCAATTCCCAGGGCTCTTCTCTTGATTTAAGCATTATCTGTGTTACCTGAGCTTTGTTACACCCCAGCAGTGGAGGGGAGAGGAGGAAAACCTGATTTTTAAAAATACACTCACGTTGAAATCTGACTGGTGCTATATTACCCTGAGGTCTCCCAAGAGTTATTGCACACAGCCTCACAAAATTTATGTTACCTTCTTGATAAATGTGTGATAACTGTGGAGCTGCTGAATCATCAGCTTATGGCACATTTTACAAGCAACTGTGCATTTCATTGACTCTGTTTTTCATTATCCCATATTGGTGGTGGCCACACTTCAGTTGCCACTCACAGCCCCATCCTCATCTGACTGCACAGCTCTATTAAAGCCACTGGGCTTTCAAACATGAAAAAGATTTTTCCCAGCATGTATTTCCAGAATTTAGTGTTAAAAGCACCTTTTCCACAGTTCTAAAAGAAAAATCATTTTTTTTCTGACTGTGATTAATCGTGTAGGACAGAAGTTATACAAGTGAGAATGATAACTGTGGTAAATTTAAGCAAGTAAGCATACAGTGCTTATTGTATTGACAAGCACACAGACAGGAATATATTTCGAATATTGGAATACAGATTTGGGAATCAAATAGCACATATTGGGAAAAAAAAAAAACAGTAGCTGAAAGGTGGCCAAAAAGAAATTACTTTGCTTTCCCTTCTCTCCTAAAACATGGTTGGCTTTTAACATCATCTTACATTAAATTGAATCATAGAAAATAAAATTTTAAAAAAAGATCACTGCTATGTCTCAGTTAAACCAGAAGAAATTAATTTAGAAAAGGATACAATGAAATTTAAAAAGAATGTGAAAAGCTTTGGAAGAAAATATTATACCAATAATTACAGTATTTACTACTGATGAATAATATTGCTGCCTCAATAAGGCCGTGCATATATAAATACAGCAATTCTGGTTTTATCTAGGTGCAGCAAGCTGGAAGATGGCTCCATTTTTTTTCTGCCCTTTGTTCTAAAAGAATAATAAAAAAGAATGAATCATCAGCCAGGCAGGGAAATTGAGCAGAAAAAAATTGAAAAGCCCCTATTTAAGGCAAGGATGGCAGCGTGTGATGTGCTGTAGTGCATGTCCCAGACTCTGCAGTGTTCCCTGATCCCAGCACCCTGCAAAGGATGCTGCTGGGATGAGGCTGTACCTTTTCTGCAGCACAGTCACCAGCTCCAGGAGCTTGCTCCTCTCCACTTCAGCAGCCTGGCACAGAGCCCTCTGCTCGGTGTTCTCTCCTGGCAGCACTTCCCAGTCCAAGCTGTCCGTGCCAGACCTGAGGAAAGCGCAAGCACAGAGAGTCTGGTTCCCACTTCTTAAATGAAAGAAATGAAACAAAAGCAGGGTTTGAGCACTATCTCCAACACACTTGTCTGAAGGTGAAGGCAGAATGCAGAGCCAGGCTCACTACCTCCCCCCAGCACCCATCTCTAGACTGCAATAAATAGAACAGAAAGATTTGGATATAAAGTCGCAGGGAGAGTCATTAGAAAGTTGCTTCCAGGATGCTTCCCCTCCCCATCACCCCTGAAAACAAACTTCCACCTCTGATCTATTCATTATCCCTGACTCTCCTCCCACTGCTACTGCCAAAGTAAAAGGAGATTGTATCTCCCAAGTGCTACACTAAACTATTAAATGGCCTGCTATTGATTTTCTCCCCCTGAAAGGCTTCAGGCAGCACTTGCACAATGGCTGTTCTTGTGTCCAATATGTGCTGAAAGGAAGGGGCAGTTTTCCCATGTATCCCATTATTATGTACATCATTTCTTCTCTGACCTCTCTGCTTTCAGAAAGATCTTCTTTGGAACAAAAAAAAGCGGGAGAAATCTTGGTGGTTGGGAGTAAAAATGGAAAAGACTGGTGTCAAACAAGCAATCAATTACAAAATTAAGAGAGAAATCAGATGTTAGAGCTCTTGGACAGCTTCAGGTAGAAGGGATGGTGCAAGAAGATTTCATTACAGAAACAAGGCAGGCAGGACAAGGATTTCCAGCAGCTTGCAGAGCAGGGCAGAACACTTCCCTTGCTGATAACAGTTTACATACCCACCTTCCAGATGGGGTGCTACCCCTGAGGAAGAAAGGCTCTGTGGCTGCTGACTCCACGAGCACGTGGCCCATCGTGGACACTGCACTGGGAGGAGGAAAGCTGCAGTAAGGCCTTCACACAGGGGACTCCCCAGAATTCCAGTCCCTTCCCAATGCCTGTGTTTTGTAGGGAAGAGCTCCCTCACCTCACACCTTCACCCGGCCCAGGGAGAGGCAATCCCAGCTCCGGGCAGTTTGATGGTGTTTGCATGTCACAGATTTCCTAACAAAGCGATGCCACGCACAACCTGTATCTCCCAATGTCCTTTACAAATGTATTTTCCACAGCTTTATGGAATCTGCTTTGTGAAAACCCTCAGGAGGATCTGTCAGGCTCATTGTTGTAGGAGAAGGAGCTGATAACACCAGAGTACCAGAGGCAGCCTGGATGAGTTCTGTGTATAATGATGTGTGCTTGGAACATCCCATTTTGATGAGTGTTTGTTTGGGACACCCCATTTCAGTGGGTGTGTGTTTGGGACACCCCATTTCAGTGTGTGTGTGTTTGGGACACCCCATTTCAGTGGGTGTGTGTGTTTAGGACACCCCATTTCAGTGTGTGTGTTTGGGACACCCCATTTCAGTGTGTGTGTTTGGACACCCCATTTCAGTGGTGTGTATTTAGGACACCCCATTTCAGTGGGTGTGTGGTTTGGGACACCCCATTTCAGTGTGTGTGTGTTTGGGACACCCCATTTCAGTGTGTGTGTGTATTTAGGACACCCCATTTCAGTGGGTGTGTGTTTAGGACACCCCATTTCAGTGTGTGTGTTTGGGACACCCCATTTCAGTGGTGTGTGTTTAGGACACCCCATTTCAGTGTGTGTGTGTTTAGGACACCCCATTTCAGTGTGTGTGTGCTTGGGACACCCCATTTCAGTGGGTGTGTGTGTGTTTGGGACACCCCATTTCAGTGGGTGTCTGTGTTTAGGACACCCCATTGCAGAGGGTGTGTGTTTGGGACACCCCATTTTGATGTGTGTGTTTGGGACACCCCATTTCAGTGGGTGTGTGTTTGGGACACCCCATTTCAGTGGGTGTGTGTTTGGGACACCCCATTTCAGTGTGTGTGCTGGTTTAGGACACCCCATTTCAGTGTGTGTGTGTTTGGGACACCCCATTACAGTGTGTGTGTTTGGGACACCCCATTTCAGTGGGTGTGTGTTTAGGACACCCCATTTCAATGGGTGTGTGTATTTAGGACACCCCATTTCAGTGTGTGTGTGTTTGGGACACCCCATTTCAGTGTGTGTGTTTGGGACACCCCATTTCAGTGTGTATGTTTGGGACACCCCATTTCAGTGGGTGTGTGTGTTTGGGACACCCCATTTCAGTGGGTGTGTGTGTTTGGGACACCCCATTTCAGTGTGTGTGTGTTTAGGACACCCCATTTCAGTGGGTGTGTGCTTGGGACACCCCATTTCAGTGGGTGTGTCTTTGGGACACCCCATTTCAGTGGGTGTGTGCTTGGGACACCCCATTTCAGTGGGTGTGTATGTGTGTGGGAGTGTGTGTGTGTTTGGGACACCCCATTTCAGTGGGTGTCTGTGTTTAGGACACCCCATTTCAGTGGGTGTGTGTGCTTGGGACACCCCATTTTGATGTGTGTGTTTGGGACACCTCATTTCAGTGTGTGTGTTTGGGACACCCCATTGCAGAGGGTGTGTGTTTGGGACACCCCATTTTGATGTGTGTGTTTGGGACACCCCATTTCAATGGGTGTGTGTGTTTGGGACACCCCATTTCAATGGGTGTGTGTGTTTAGGACACCCCATTTCAGTGTGTGTGTGTGTTTGGGACACCCCATTTCAATGGGTGTGTGTATTTAGGACATCCCATTTCAGTGTGTGTGTGTGTTTGGGACACCCCATTTCAATGGGTGTGTGTATTTAGGACACCCCATTTCAGTGTGTGTGTGTTTGGGACACCCCATTTCAGTGGGTGTGTGTTTGGGACACCCCATTTCAGTGGGTGTGTATGTGTGTGGGACACCCCATTTCAGTGGGTGTGTGCTTGGGACACCCCATTTCAGTGGGTGTGTATTTAGGACACCCCATTTCAGTGTGTGCTGGTTTGGGACACCCCATTTTGATGTGTGTGTTTGGGACACCCCATTTCAGTGTGTGTGTTTAGGACACCCCATTTCAGTGTGTGTGTTTAGGACACCCCATTACAGTGTGTGTATTTAGGACACCCCATTTCAGTGGGTGTGTGTTTAGGACACCCCATTACAGTGTGTGTGTGTATTTAGGACACCCCATTTCAGTGGGTGTGTGTTTAGGACACCCCATTTCAGTCTGTGTGTGTTTAGGACACCCCATTTCAGTGTGTGTGTGCTTGGGACACCCCATTTCAGTGGGTGTGTGTGTGTTTGGGACACCCCATTTCAGTGGGTGTCTGTGTTTAGGACACCCCATTTCAGTGGGTGTGTGTGCTTGGGACACCCCATTTTGATGTGTGTGTTTGGGACACCCCATTTCAGTGGGTGTGCTGTTTTAGGACACCTCATTTCAGTGTGTGTGTTTGGGACACCCCATTTCAATGGGTGTGTGTTTGGGACACCCCATTTCAGTGGGTGTGTGTTTGGGACACCCCATTTCAGTGGGTGTGTGTGTGTTTAGGACACCCCATTTCAGTGGGTGTGTGTTTAGGACACCCCATTTCAGTGTGTGTGTGTTTGGGACATCCCATTTCAGTGTGTGTGTGTGTGTTTGGGACAACCCATTTCAGTGGGTGTGTGTTTGGGACACCCCATTTTGATGTGTGTGTTTAGGACACCCCATTTCAGTGGGTGTGTTTCCTCAACATGAATTCAGCTGCCCAAAGCCAAGTCCCTGCAGACTCACCCCAGGTTTCCTTACTTTAGGAAGCTAATACTTTAGGTAGCTAACTAGAGGCTAAAACCTGAATATTGTGGAAGAGCTAGATGCCTTCTAGGCTAGGAGTGGTTAATCCTAAAATCAAGTTATACTGACAGGCTTGGCCTGTCTAAAAATGCAGATTTTTACTCTGTCATCTCCAAAGGGTTCAGCATCTATTTATAGGGTTTTTCATTTCACCTGTTCTGATAGGAAAAGATGATTCACTGCAGTGAACTGAGAGTTCATCAGCATATTAAAGTTAATGGAAGGAGTGAGCCTTGCTGACCAAGTTGTTAACAGCTCTCAGAATTTTTCAGGATCATACATTGCCCACCTGACACGTCAGCTCTTTCCAGGACAGAGCCCTTGGCCCTGTACACAAGCAATAATTTATGCATTGCACTTAGTGGTTTTCACAAAGCCATTACCCAGCTTTGGTTCCTGCTTACTATCAGCAGACATGTGAGGTAAAAAAAAAAAAAAGGAAAAAAAAATAAAAGAGGGGGTATAAAATACAGGTTTGCTCCAGGAGAGCACAACTTCTGCAAAGATAGAAGGGGGAGAATTAAAACAGTAAGAAGGGTGAAGAAACTTTCAAATTAAGGATATTTTAACAGAATTCTTCCTAAATTGTATAGTAATTTTCTACTTATACTCATGGATACTCAGCTGATTTTAAAGCCAAATTTGGTGCCTAAAGTAATGAGGTAAGAAATTACACAGAAGAGATCAGCTGTAACTTTAACTTGATGAAAAATTTCTCCCATCCCCATCAGACTAGTCTCAAATCCTCACTATCAATTAGACCATGAACTCTTTAGCAAGAAACTCAGCAGCAATTTAACATGAAAGGATATAACTTGCTGTGGTACCATGGTCCCTTTATACAGCCAGAGTGACCCAGAGTCATATCAGTATAAACAGAAATCAGATTTATTGCTGCACTAAGATTAGTGTAATTTACACAGTCCTCAGCGAGGCTTCAGAGTGTGTTTGGTAAGAACAAATTATATGGTGTGTTTTCAACATTTCTGCATGTAAATCCTACTCAAAGAGCATTTATTGATTTAAATAATGCCCCAGTGATTTAGTGCCTACCTAAAATGGCACTTTGCATTCATTCCCCACCCTGCTCACAGAAATCTGCTCGTTAGAAGCCCTGTGTCTCATAAGGGGAAAGACTCCCAGGCACTTAAACTGACCATGTAAACATTATCTGAGCTGCAGCAGGAGAAATAGCTGCACTACCACCACGCCAAATCTAGTCATGTCTGCAAGTCTTCACATCCTTCTCAGTTCCAGGACAAAAGTCCAAGAGATAATGTGATTAGAGATTCCCATAAATTGCAAACAGGCTGCCACAGCTGTTGGCACAAAGCACTTGTGGTTTGATGAATCTCCCTGGGAAAACCAGGCTCCTGGTCACTCAAACAACTTGAAATATTGACTTTCTGGTCTTCTTACCGGGCAGATTCTGTCCTTCCAGCCTTGCTACTGCCTGATCCCTCAGGTGCTCCTGAGTGCTCAGAGCATGGTAGATTAGCAGCTTCTGACTCGTCCTATGGATGGGCAGATTTCTTCTGTTAATGCTGGAGCATGTTATAAAACCAATCACAGTTCAGTGGAAAACAGCTGCACCAATGCCAAATCAGTAGCTTTTGATTATTGCTACCAGAACTTTTAATTTATTAGCAAACCAGATTAAGCAAACCAGAACTTTTGATTTACAGGACCTCCTCAGGAGCTTTGCTTTAACCCCTATCCATTGCAGGATGAAAACAAAGCAGAAGTCAATAAAAACTTTCATACAAAATTTCATACGAAATCAGAGTGCACTAATAACCCACAGTGCAGCACCATCACTGTCAGCACATCTGTTTTGTGTCCCTAACCCAGGTTTGATGCTGGATTCAATGCTCCAGCCCCCATTCCTGAGGTATCTGGCAGATTCACAAGCTCACCATAACCCCAGGAGGCTTTTGGATTAACGGGAATGGGATGCCTAAACAGGCTTCACAAATCCTGACTGTGAGACAGCAGGAGCTGGGAACCTGCTGATGTTGGTGTGACACATTTGTTTGCTTCCTCCTCCCAGCAGCCAAGGGTGCTGAACACTGAGGAGTCCCCAGTGCAGCCCCAAGTCCTGCTGTCAGTCAGTGACAGTCCTGACACGTGTGGCTGGGATTGGTATTTCTGTGTTTGCTGCTGCTGAAACAGCCTGAACTTATGCCCCAAGGACCTGAGGAGTTACAAAAGACAGTTCCTGCTTTATCATTCCATCAGGAAACACTGTCAGGACAGGGATCACTGTCTGGAGGCAGCAACCATCTCAGATAACAAGGGACAAGGAAGTGGAAGAGCAGATCTAAAGTGATTTCCAAGTGTTCTCCTCTAATTAATTTGTTCTGCCTACCTGAAATGTGAGTTTCTCAACCTCCATCTCCAGTGTTTTAACCTTTGCTTCTCGCTCAGCCACCAGCTCCCTGAGCTTGTCTTCCATGATGTTTTTTCCCTGAATCCCAGGGTTCAGGTGCTGCCCTACCACCTGCTGAGGCTCCTTGTCCTTATCCTCCTTCTGGCTCAGGCCCTTTAAGAGCTCCTGCATTTGTTTCTGCTGGGTCTGGTAAAATAGAAACAGGTGAGATCTTTATTTTGTACACAATGATTATTTTAAACCACCCTCCCCAGGACAAATATCTGTTTAGGAATGGTAGGGTAAGCCCATTCCTTTGGTGGGAGCACACTGGTGTCACTGGTGCCTCTTTGGCAATTTGATTTGTTATGTTGACCTAAGCAATGGATTCAATTTGCTGCCAGCTCTGCTGCTCAGTGTAGCAGAAAGCAAAGCAAAAAAGACTGGCCTTTGATAAAGAAGTGACTTTTCCCATAAACTGAATGAAACTCAAGATTTCAATGTGCTTTTTGTGGAATAAGAATGTGATCAGATTGTGTGATAGCGATATAAAAAGCTGAGGGCTCTATGGGGTGACAGATATGAGGCCAGGCTGTTTCACCAGTGGTTTTGGAGGCTTTTTCCACACTGACAAATCTAATACCTGTCAGGCAGTTTGTTCTGTCAGGCCAACAACATGCAAGTGGTTTTGTGATAGAAGGGATAAAAGAGATTAACCATCCCTTCCCAAATAAACTTGCATCTTTCTGTACTAATTTTAGTGGGAATACTCAGAAAAAGTGACAAGTTGAGAAGTGTTCTTTGGCTCCCCTAATCTGCTGGTCAGCAGTGCCTGGTGGGAGAGGGGTGAATGCCAGCTGAGCTAAAACCTACCTACAGCAGCATGGAAATCTGAGTGGTTCCAAACTAGTGAGGAGCTGGATCAGGAAACACAGAATTAACCCTGCTAGGAGGTGGCAAATTCTTTAATATATTTGCTATTTTAATTGAGGAAGGCTGTCTAGAACCATGGCAGGACAAAGCCAGCAGCCATTTATTTCCTTCTTAACATTTTTGAGCCTTTGCTAAAACTCTTGGTTTTGAAGAGGCCAAATCCTCTCAGCTCCAGCTACTGCATGTGAGCGTACACATGGTTTAGTACTCATGGTTCAGCTTGTGTGTTGTGGGCTGTGTAGCAAAATAAATGGAAGTTTTGTTACAAACAAAAAAAAATTCCTGCAGGACTGCAGGCATTCTAAGGAAAAATAAATCTACCAGAGGAGCTGGAAGCAGAACAAAGAACACAGGCCAGTGCCTGGGGTCAGGACTGAAGCCCTTCCTCTACCTTCTCCAATCCTTCTGCAAAATGTTTCTGCCAGTCCCTGCAGCTCAGGGCCACTTGACTGTAACTGTCACACCTGGTGCTGTCTCACAGCCCTTACATGACCTGATCCAAAACACAGAAGGACTTCAGCTGACAAGGAAACCTCTGGCTGCCACAGCTGGATCCATCAGGCTCCTGTACACTCTAAGGTTATGTGTGCCATGAAGTGATATCATGTTTTATCACCTAGAGAAACAGGGCTGGGACCAACAGACACAGACTGTACCAGCAAGGCATCTAGGAGCTCATCATCGTGTTTCCCTTTCTCCAGCAAGGTTCCAATCTGTCCGTTCAGTATCTTCACTTCTCCACACAGCACTTGGTTCCTGGCTCTTGAGGCATCCAGTTTTTTTTTCAGTTCCTCATGTTTTTTTTGGAGAGAGTTGTATTGCTCAGCGAGTTTCTGCAGTGATGCAAAAGGAAATTAAAGTTACAACTCATCACCAAGCCACAAGTGCTGAGGTGAGCAAAAACAATCACACATTACCTGGTAGGATCTAAAAAATGGGACTGGAATACTGTATTATTCCTAAGGAAGTAGAAATTATAAATATTACTTGCCAGCATCCAAAAAGAGTCTGTCTGCTCAGGAATCCAGGTGGCCTGGATGGATTCCCCATTATTCTGGATTCTGATTCTCCATTATTCTGTTCACATGGAGAAGCCCAGAGCCCTACAGATACAGGAGGTCTGAGAGGATGTCTGTATTTGGGATGAAGAATGCACACCTGGCCAGAGGGGTGCTAAGGGGTTTGGCTGCAGCTGCAGCAGGGCTTGGCTGTGAAGTGGGGCAGATCTTTCTGCAGCAGATCAGGTGGGTTTGTGAAATGGTTTTAGCTAGTGTGTAACACACCCTGAAGGCAGGAGAAGTTATTACACACTGCTCCACACACAAACAGGATTCTGTTCACAGGATTTTAACTCCAAAGATTCCCTCTTCAGGACTCTGTCTGTTCACAGGATTTTACCTCCAAAGATTCCCTCTTCTCTTTTTCCAAGTTGCGAATCTTCAGCAAATTCTTCTCTTGGACTGACAACTTCCTTGAATGAGGAAATGCCAGAAATCCCTCATCCACCTCAAGCAGAGAAGCTGTGATCTTGTTTTGACTCAGTTTATGTTCCAGCTCTCGAATCTATGGCACAATAATAACAACTCACCCAGAGTTCTACTGGGGAGGACAAAAAAGGAGCCAAAGGCAGCTTGGATTACTTCTTGATAATCCATTTTTCTGTTTAACTAACACAGAGCAGTGTCTGGTCTTTCAAACTGAAATTTAACTGCTAATAAACATGCAGATTTTAGGGCATCTGTGCAGGAAGGAGATCTGAGCTTTTGTGGAGCCACAATTGGAGGCCAGATAGGCACTCCAGAGCATTTGGAATTGCTGCTGTGTGAATCCAAGTGAACTCAGTGTGTCAACTGCTCACTGCAGGCTGCTTTCCTAGGCAGTAGAAGGAACTGGGCACTGCCACAGCTCAGTTCCTCTGCCCTGTTTTGGAGGAACCTGCCTCACTTTTGATCCAGTGAGTGGATTTACAAGATCCCCACTGACTACAGAAGGGGCCTGAGGAGTCTGGATCAAAAAGAAATCTGTATGTTAGAATAGAGAACAGTAGGAACAGTTTTTAGATGAACCTCAGGCAGGGGGTATAACAGGGGGAAATGGAATTTGCTCAAGGAAAAGCAGAGGTTAAAATTCTCAGTCAATCAGAGTGCAAAAAAATCACAATTTGATGGCATGTAATTGAACAGCAGAAAAATAGGAAAATTACGTGTTGAATTGCCTGAGAGAAGTTTTATTTAGATGCAGAAAAAACTGCCTGCCTGACTCCTGCTGACATTTCAGCTAAACTCTGCCCTTCAGAAGACTCAAGAGTTAAAGATTTTACTGAAGTTCCCGAGGGAACAACTTGAAAACCTGATCTGGCCTCAATTCTTCCCATCTGACTCCAAGCACTGAACAAAGGTGTCTAAGTCAGAGCACAGACACTGACAGGGCTCCTTCTGTTCTCGGTGGAAAGAGGCACCTTCAAAACACCCTGGGACTTGAACTAGGCTGCCACAGCTCTCCAAGGTCACTGAACTCCTTCCTTTGACACAGATGTGAAAGATTCCCAGCTGAAATACCAAAGCTTGCATGGCTGCAATAGTCATTAACATGATGTGCACACATCAACACAGAGATGTTAAGAATTAATGAAAACTAAACTTTTACCTTCAATTGAGGTGATATCTCTACTTGGAAAGAGAATTCCAGCTGGAATGGCACTGTGCAGGGTCGTAACTCACCCTGGTTTGGAGAAGAAGAATTTGCTGAGCTCGTCCACGCCAGCTGCCAGAATTGGTCAAGAGACTTTGGATATTCACATCTTCCCCAACTTCTTTGGCTAAAATCTGGGAAAAGGGATTAACATCAACAATAAGGCTTAAAAGGATGTGTTTGGGTGAGGGGAGGAAGAGCTCCTCTCTTTAACAGGAAACACAAGCAGTTTTCAATATACACAATTGTTTTTGATATGATGAATATTTACCCCTGACTAACCAGGAACAGAGTAGAGATATTGTCTTAATACACACCAGGAATTGAGCCAATTGCCCTTGCAAAATTCTGACACAGCTAAACTTAGTATGAAGAGCATTTAAATTATTTATAAAAAGGTCAGCAGAGTTCTATTTTTAGGACCATATTCTCTACTCTGATCTGCATTGCAGGTCTCCCACACAAAGTAAGGAAACCAAAGAGAATCAGAGCACATAATAACACTTAAATCCATCATGAATCAGAGGAAAAGGTTATTCTGGATGTCATTCCAACAGACTCCTTAAACACATGCTTTAGTTCAAGCATGGCCTTTAATCCCATTGATTCCCAGGGGACTGGAACCTACATTAAAAGTAAATACATAATTAAATGTATGGGAAAGGAGGAATGAGCTCAGAACAGTTCTGCTGATCTGGGACTTTAAAACTCAAAAGGATTTGTGTCCGTTGGACAGTGGGAATGTCAGGCACAGTGGGGGTAAAACATAAGATCTATGTTCAGGAGCACAATTTCAATACCAATCCCCACCCTTGTGCCTTCCTCACCTCTCTGCTCTACTGGAAGGGACAACCAAAGGCCAAAAGCCTCCCAGTTTCCCAAGACTGAAGCTCCTGCAGGGGTCCCAGCCCCAGACAGCTCCCTGCAGTGGTACCTTTTGGGTCAGCTTCAGTTCCTGTTTCACGTTCTGGAGCTGGTTCCGATATTCCGTCACTTTTGTATTGGCTGTGCTCAATTTTTCCTGCAGTGCTTTCACCTCTGGACTTTCAGCCTTCGAGGAGAAGAATGTACTTGGTGAGAACAGAACCCCCAGGGAAAAGCTGAAGTGATTAAGATCCATGGATCTGTTAGGAGCACTGAATTGTTTTTTTTCCAGACCTAATTTTTGGGGCATAGAGGAGGTACAGGGGAATTTTGTTCCAAAACTGTGACAGGGATACATCCTTGTTCTACAAAGGAGCTGAGTATCAGCTGCTGATTTCTTCATTTCAACTACAATTCCTACCAAGTTTCCTTCCAGTATTTTCAGAGTTGATTCCTTGATTCCTGCAGCATCGCCACCAAGGGAATGGATTTTTTCTGTGGCTGCCTGTAGCTGGAAAAGAACCCCACTGTTAGTGTGGAATGGATGCAGAGAACAGCATCACCCCATGGAGTATTAATTAGCAAAAAAAGTATAACTTGGATGTTTATTTACTCTAAAAAAATCCAAAATCCCTTAATTTTCCCTTCTTTTTTAACACAATCAATAGGGAAGCATAATTATTTTTTTCTGAAATGCTTCCCAAAGAATCATGTTATATTTTACCGTGGAATAATTTCAGAAGATGTCTCTAACTTGCTGAGATGAGATTAAATTTCAAGTATGGAGACATCTGAGGCATTTTGCCACCAAAAGTACCTCAAATTAATGTTTATATACATAAATCCAAAGCTTGTCCAGCCCAGAATATTTCATAAAAAGCAAATAGTTCTACTCACTAGAGGAATATAAAAGGAGAAATATACCTGGCACCCTATAACTGAGATTTAATGGTGTTAAGGCTCTTTTTCTTTAGCTGGGAGCGCCAAAGTAGCATTTTTAAACCCATGAAGAATAAAGACTGTCTCCTCTTACTTGCCACTGCAAAGGAAAACAGACATACAACCCCTCCTGCTCTGGATAATGCCCTATGTTGCTGTTACAAAGGTTTCTAAATGGATGAGAGGGCAGGAATCTGGGCTGGAAAGGGCAGGAACTGCTGCTTTAACAGTCTGGGACATCATTCTTGGAGGTGGGTGGAAAATCTTGATTATTTTCCTGAAATGAAGAAGGCTCTAAGGAAGAGCTCCTTCATTAAAGGGACATCTGGGGGAAAAGACTACCTCAGAGCCAGCTCTAATTTCACTCTTTTTCATGTGTTAGGGCCACTCTTTCTATCCAGTTCATAAGGTTTTGTAGTCAATGGGCTGAGAATGAGGAATTTCAGCTGGAGCTGGGAGCTGCTGGCTCAGGTTCTGAGGAAATTTTCTGCAAGCATCCCTTTGCTTACATGGTCCATCCCTAGCCAAGTGATTGTTCAGTGGCCACACCTTCCATTCTGTTTGGGGCAACACAATTGTAGTAAAATACTTATGACTTACAGACTTTTCAGTTTTCATTCAAACAAAGAGCTAAAAATACGTAAAATAACAGCGTTTTCTACCTATCACTCCACATTTTTGATAGATACCTCCTAGTGTTAAACTCAGCTTTCATTTTACACATCATTTACATCTTCATCTTCTTCCTGAAATATTTGTGCTCCTTTGTTTTTTGGGTCAAAATCTGAGAATATTTAATGTTTCTGTTTGAATAATGGTCATTAACTTCTGCAGTAGAGGAGCAAAACCAAGTTGATTTTTCCTTAAATTATTCATTAATTGCTCCACTACTTGGGATCTTGTAGGTCCCAAACTACACCTGATACTTGGTTGCCAACCTGCCAACTGTTTGACAAGGCCCCTCTGACCAGAACACTGTAGATTTATGCAGGAATTCTCCAAAATTTAATTTAATCTGCGACTTCTTGACCTTTCAGGCAGCTGGGCTGCAATTCAGGCAGATGCACGGCTCATGACAATAAATGCTGGTGAAAGACTGAGTCAAAACACATTGTCAGCATTATTGATTCATTTAACTGATGTCTTCAAAGAAAGCAAAGTTCAGAAAAAAAATTAAAGATTATAAAAAAACCCCAAAATCACCAATACTGCGTAAGGAAGAGGAGCAGTAGCCAAAGGACAAAGCAAATATTGACATCAGGACTTTCCATTTTCAATTCAGCAGCCACCTGAGTAAAATGACTTCTGTGAAAGGTTGGCAAAAAGTCACAGTAAACCAGAAAATTTAATCTGCCTGAGTGGAGATCTGCTGTCTTATGTGATGTAGTTTGGTGTTGTTTCAGTTCTGTAAGTACTTATTCCAGAAAGAAGCTTTCATTATGGGGATGACAAAAGCTTAGAAGAATAAATAACTAATTACTGACTGGTATTAATGAGGTGGGAATGTAAGATATAAAGGTGTGAAATTTGTTTCTCCTCACAAAAAAATAAATAATAAGAGAAATATCATTGCCAGACTGGTAGAAAAGTCTCTGTGCTTTTACAAATGAACATTCCTAATTGCTGTTTAATAAATCCTTGGTTCATTATGATTTGGGGATATCCTTTCCTAGCTCCTCCTGTCTGAAGAGGTGAAATTTCAGGGACAGAAATGACCACAACCCAAAGTACACAACGACTTAAGAGCAAATTCAACACGGGGACATGAATCAAACCCATTTTCTATCCCAGAGGTTGGATTTACATGTTTTAGGGTGCAAAAAGAGAACAAGAAAAACGTCTCACTTCTCTCTCCAGCTCCTTGACTTTGTAATTCAGCTGCTTCACTCTGGCTCTCTCACTCTCAAACTCAGCAGTTATCTCACGGTTCTTTTTGGCCAACTCAACTATTTTAGTGGCTGCCACGTCTCCAGCTATACCAGACACCCCTGTGAGGAACACATGAAAGCAGAGGGCACATCTTACAGGCAGGATTCAGAACAGACCACGCTTTTGTTCTCTGTCACAATGTACTTTCATTGTTTCAACCCTTCCTCTCAGAGCTGTGCCAGGCACTTAAATGAACAAGTGAGGGCAGAGATGTCAGAGGTGCCAGCTGGATGGGTTGGTCCTTTGATTCAGCAGCTCACCGTGACCACATTTCCCACTGTGGCAACAGCCACGTGTCACAGGGCCACAACAGTGCTCACAGCAACATGATTACCTAGAGAGGGCATTGGTGTTTCCTGCTCACCGCTGGGAAGGACAGCTGGGAACAGGATTTTTTTGGCATTATCACAGAAAAAGGCAACGCTCTGCTTTGCCTGGTTGTTTACTACTGGAGGAGCTGCTGGAACAGAGGTGTGAACATCTCTAGACACCAGTCCTCAAAGGTCAGGCACATTATTACAGTTGGGTCCTGGACAAGGTCCAGGAAATTTCATTGTGCCTATTTATAACTCCCTTGGGATTACACAGGGAGCTTTACTGGATGATTCTTTTAATTGCTCTTTTAAACAGCCATGTCACTGGCTCCCTCATCAGGGAGGGTTTGATTAGTGCCACAAATGAAGAAGCAAAGCCCAGGCCTGACTGTTGTGTCACCTGGCTCTGGTTAACAGCACACAGGTGAAGGAAAGCTCTTGTACAAGTGCAAAATCAATCTCATGGCAAACAATGCCCACAGAAACCTCCAGCTCAGCAAGGAACATGAGCCTGCAACAACAAACCCTTGGTGGTGGGGGGGTGAAGACTGAACTTGGCTGCTGTCATTCTTCTTGACCCTTTCATCCTCCTTCAGAGCTCTGCAGTAATCACTTTTCTTTGATATTCATGAACTGGGGTGGGATGAGAGGTGAGAGATCACTCACAAGTGAATGCTGAGGCACATAGACCCCTGAGACATTAATGGGGCTACACAGAACACAGCTGAGAACAGAATTTGTTTCTATATCACTATTTAAAAAACTTGTAAAGAAAATAATTTATTGTTTTAAATGAGCTTATTTTAAAAGCATTTAAAATGCTTTTTAGAAAGCACTTAAAACCAATTCCTTATTTTTAAAAGCATTTCCACTGTTCTCACTTTGTGTGGTATATGTTACCTCTCCCACCTAGGAGCTACTTTTACCTCAGCTTTCAGGACAAATGGCTGCTGAGAATCACAGTAAATACTAAATTAACCAAAGCCAGGTTGCTGCTTCCATGGTAAATTGATGGTCTTCAAATGCATTGCACACACTCAACCAAGGCTTCTCATTCCCAAGCAATGTGGGGATTGCAACAATGCAGGCAGGGAAAACAGAGGCAAGGGATTTGCATCAGCCAGAGAAGCTGCAGCAGCACATCTGGCTCCTGGTCCTGACCAGGAAGAGCTTATCACCTTTCCTACACACAAACTACAGCTGCTTTTCAAGGTGTAATTTAATGTTATTTAGTTCTCTTCAAGCCAGGTTATCACTGCTGTCCTGACCAACAGTGGCACCCAGTGGAGGAGGTGCTGCATGCACAGTTCAGTTCTCAAAAGACACCAAAATCACTTTAGAAGCTGAATTTTTCATTCTTCCAGCATCCTGCTTGTGCCCTGTTCAGGCAGGAAAAAAAAAGGAGCCTGAGTAAGAAATTTAACCCTACAGAGCAGAGAAAGCTGCAACACAGCTCTTTAACACTAAAAGGAAGTTTTCCAAAATATTATTTGTATGGAACATCATTATTTCTGTGAAAATAATAGCAAGGTTCTTTTTTTTTGTTCTGTGAGGAACAGAAACCACTGTGTACCCTAAAAGAGCACTATTCTTTTCAGTGACATTTTTTTGTCATCAGCATCAAGCAAACCAAGATGGTGAGAATACAAAGTTGCTCTGTTTACCTGACAGAGCCAACCTTTCCTCCTGCAGTCTTCTCTGGAGCTGATTTATTTCAAAATCTTTCTCTGACACCAGTTTGTAGAGCCTGCAGTTCTCATCCCGGACCTCTCGCAGCTGATCCTGCAGCTTCTCATTCTCAGCCTCAAGAAAACTGGGAAAAAATAAACCATAATGACAAATAATGTACCAATAGGTGCTCCTAGAAATAAAATAATGAAACAACTGATAGATGGGCTGAGGTTACCAGGAGTGAGTTTATTGAACTAGCTAGAATATCCTAAACCTCAGATAATTATCAAATAACAAGCTGATTATCTGGTCTATTCAGTTAATATCTTCTTAAAAGAAAAATCTGCACTTTCTTGAGCTGTCTGGGGCAAAACATCACAGAACAAGTATATTGAGATTAAGAAATAGCATAATCTCAGTGTTACTTACCTGGTTCTTCAGGGGAAATCAGGCAGCATTCAGCATGTGGGACATTCAGACTTTCTTTTCTATACTTGACAAAGCCAGGAGAAGCCAACAGAGCATTGACTACAAAGCTGCCCCTGGAGTCCTTTAAAAATCAATGTTTTAGAGCAATTCATAAAAGACCGATTTCCCATGTCCTCAGCTGATTCTCTTGGAACCTTTCTTCAACATCAGTTTGTATTGTTAATGGTGCCTTTTGGAATTCATTTAGAAACAGAGAATACCAAAAAAAGCCCTCTGAATGGAAAGAAATAGCCCTGCTTCTCCTAGTCTTCAGGGCATTTAGCAACATTTAAAGGTTTCATCTCTCTAAGACATCCAGAGAATTAATAACTTTAATCTAATTACTGCCCTGATGTGATGGGTCCTTCAAATAGAAAATCCAGGAGCTGTGGCCTCAGGGGCTTAATTCAATTGTGGAAGTTCTGAATTATCTGAGCTCCCTGACATGGGATCCTTGAGAAAAATTTGGAATCAATACAATTACCCACACACAGGTGACATTTGAGCTGCCCACCTGACCCCAGCTGCTGCTGGTGGAAGATGCAGGTCTCCAATGCTCTGTGATTCCCATGTAGAAGTTCCTGATAATCTGCAGCATCTCAGTTATCCAGACACCTAAATCAGCTGGATGAATTGACTTCTAGATTCTCCTATTTTCTACAGGGTAATGCTAAATATTTACACTTTGGAGAAGTGATTTGGATAAAGCCTAGTTGTTACCTTATGTACCTGTACACACAGCCAAAGTCAGATGTCTCAATAATCATCTCAATTTTTTGATTCCAAAGTTTTAACAAGCTCTTAGCACCCATTGGATCTGAGAGCTTTTAAATGAACCTCCATCTGCCTATGTCAGAATAAATGACCCCTTAAGCCACTGCTATAAACAGCACAGAGTTTAGGAGAGAATTCACAATACATAATTAAGAAATGCACTTGTGTTTCAAAGCTGCAAATCAAAGGGAGATCAAAGGCAGCTGTTCACAAAGGAGAAGAAAGCAAGGAGCAATGTGAGCAGAGGAGAGGCAGGACTGAGTTATTCCCACATCACCCACTCAGAGGAGAGAGCAAGGAAACTCAGATCCTGTTAGAGACGCCTGAACCAAAAGATTTTGAACAGTTGGGGGATTAACATGGAAAAAGGGTTCTAAGCTCTTAACACACCTGAGCAGTGAAGTCTTCTCAGAGCTGGAGTCCAAGTCTTGAGGAAAAGCACTTAGAGGAGGATGGACAGAAATCCCAACTGCACAGAGCTGGAGTCTGCTCTGGGGAACTTCCCACCCCATCCCAGAGTGGCTCCCTGTTACAGAGGTAGCAGATCCACCCAAGTGCCTCAACTACAGAAAATGGGCTGCAAAAGGCACCTCTTTTCACTCTCCTTCAAGGAATCAGAGCCAGGTGGAGCTTATGAGCACGGCTCTGCCTGGAATTCAGGTGGTTTCCCAAATTGCATGCCGTGTTCAAGCCAAAAAAAGTCAGGAATTAAACTTTTGTCAAATTGTGTCTTTCCTAAGTCTTGTTAGAGATTCTCCACACGATGGGGAGAGTCACTTAAATACATTCAAGTACACCAAAAAGAGAAGGGAGGATAAAGTTACAGAGAGAATACGACACAAAAGCAGAAATGTCAGCTAAACACTTGTCTAAACAAGATTTGGGAGCAGGATGGGCGGAAGGAAAAAAGAATTCCCAAGGCTCGGAGGAAGGGAGACTTCTGAGAGGAGAATGTTTTTTTTCCGATTGTTTTTATAAACAACAGTGACAAGCTGAAATCACTGCCACTGCAGGCCATGTGGAGTCCTGTGATCCTGGAACAATCCTCTGATGTGCTGTCATGGGAATACTGCAGAGAACATCCTGGTGAATCCCTTCCAGAAACAAATCCTGCCTGGACTGCATCACTCACAACCACTCCTCTGCTGAATGTACACAAGCAAAGGACAATTCAGATATATCTGCCACACCTGCCATGTCCAATGGGGACTTTTGACAGTAACACAGAAACAGAGGTAAATAAAAAATCTGGGATTACTCAGGCCTAAAGTACTGAACTCTAAATAGAAGAGAACTACTGGGCTTTCCTGTACTCTGCACACTGCCCATGATGTGCCATGGGAGCACCTAAATTCCTTTTTTCCACCAAACATCTGAACTATGGGAATCAGCCTCACAGAAATTTTTAAAAATTCAGATTTCCAAGGTAATCTTCTACAGATTATCAGAAAAAAACGGTGAAGGGAAGAGGACAGCTGGTAGAGGTCAGACTGGGGGCTTAAAGTGGCATATCAGACAGCTCTGCTGAGGCACCAGTGTGTGAAGGAATTTCTCCACCTGGCTTCACCACTACCACAGAGCAAAGCCCTGCACAGCCAGCACTGCAGACACCTTTGGGGTGTGTCCAACCCCAGACCTGTTGTAGTCGGGAAAAGAAGCATTAATTGGGTCAGAAAGAAAGGCTGACTATACTCTGGGAGGAAAAGAAATTATCTGAGCTGGGGCTTTAAATCTCTGCTCCAGTACTAAGCTCAAAAGAAAAAACAAGATTAAGGGATATCCATACCAAAACACCTAATTGTCCTGGTATCCATCTGATCCACCAAATCAGGATATATTGCAGAGAAATCCCAGGGAACACTCTTCTGTTCTGCAGACCTGTGGCTTGCTCCCATTAGCTGCTTTGCCTCTGTCCATCTTTGGAAATTATTCACGTAGAGAATCTATTTGCTTAGAACTAGGCAGGGACTAACCAGCAGGTCAGAGGATGCCAGTGATCCCAAAAGGCTGGATTTTGTCAGGTAGTACCTGGCTGCCCCTTCATTTGTAAAATACTGATATTAAAGAGCACTGCACAATGCCCTGAGGATAATTAGGGACAGGGAGAATCTCTCAGGATAATGAAACCCCAGTGTGTGAAGACAGAAAGTGTCCTGTCAGCTTAATAATATTGAGTTTCATGAGATCATAAGCAAAATATATTCCAGTGACTTCCTGAAGGAATGGCACTGCCAGACCTTTACCTTTTGCTGGCATCTTCATTTACAGGAGGTCCTTTATTAAACAGGTTTAGGTCACTCAGGGCTTTTATAGTCTTCTTTGTGCTGCCAGTGTTCTTCTGCCTGTTCTGCTTTTCCTTCTTCCTCTCCATCAAATCTTGCAGCCGCCTTTGCTGTTGCTCCTGATAAGCCTTAAACTGGCTTTTGAAGTCTTCATTCACTTTTACATCTGGCTCCATTGTTTACTAAAAACATAACAAGAGGAAAATAAAAAGTGACAGAGAGCAGAGATCAGCACTGCTCTGAAAAACATCCCCTTCTGGCAGCTTCTCTGCAGCTTTTCCTCCCTGACATCTGCCCAGTCTCCCTCCTCCTCCTCCTCTCCAGCCCCAGGGCCTTGCTTCAAGCGCCTTTTTCCATAAATGGCTTTTAAACATCCCTTTAAAAAAAAGCTGTTGGGTCTTTTTCACTCCAGAATTCAAAAAAAGCAACGTTTCCAAATGTTCTTAAACAGACCTGTTTAAATAAACATTTTAACAGAGGAGCAGGTTGGAGCCAAATCCAAGCCCATGTGGCATTGTCACACTGGCTAAAGGGAGCACAAAGTGTTTGGGATCACCCAGCCTCTGCCCACATCCAGGAAAGGTGTAAATCCCCCCATTTTTGGGTTAATGGGGGACTGACACAGGAAGGAAAATCTTCTTTTTCCTTATGCTCCCTTCGGGCAAGACAAAATTGTGGCTTACATCTCTCCTCCAAATTTCTAATCACTGAGTGATAACATTAAATAACTAAATAATACATTAATTATTAATATATCTATATCTATAATATATCTAATTATAAAAAATATATTATTAATAGACATTTCTAAATAATAATATTGCTACCCAAATATTTTCTTAGGATGACTAAAGACAGTTTTCTGACAAATTGCAGCCCCTTCCTCTTTCTGTTTGACATTTGTTGTCAGCAGAAAAAACCCTATTGCAGCTTTGTATTAGGAAAACCAATACATAAATATCTCCAAAGGCACACCCTGCACTGAGTAATTAACACAGGGCTTTTTTCACACTGAAGGAAATCCAATTATCTTGATTAATGCACCAAAATTCAGCGTGTCCCTTTGTGTACCTCATGGGCAGAGTCACCTGGACAAGGTGCACTGAGGACTGACAAGTGCAAAGAGCAGAGTCTGGAGCCTCTGCACAGCCCACAGGGCTCTGGGCATGAGGGATCAAAGAATTAGTGAATCAGAGAGGTTGAAAAATTAATTTTAATTGATTAAAGTTGATTCTGAGATTTGGAAAAAGCCTACAGAGATAAGGAGTCCATTCCATTTACTTAAGCAAACTGGATATAAAATTTAGACAGCTTTTCTGGTTTCAGTAACCTCTGGGTTGATAACTAAATTTGTAATTAGATTGGACCTCTTGATAGGTTTAGCCACTGACCTTAAAGGTAACAAAGAAAAGCAAGAACATCTTCAAACAGTAATTGTCTCCATTCTGAAAATATCCCAAAATTATTTGTAAGTATTTTAGGCTTTAAATGGCCTTCATGGTTATTCTCAGAATTTTCTTTACTTAGACTGCATTACTGATTAATTTATTAATTTATAACTTACTAAGTTATTTACTTATCTATAGGCCAGAAATGCACACGGTACTCAAGGTGCAGCTCCATCCCTCAATGCTACAATGGAAAAGCCCTTTCAGATCCTCGAGTCCAACATTAACCCAGCACCAAACCTTGTCCCCAAGTGCCACATCCAGGTGAGATTTGAACACTTCCAGGGATGGTGATTCCAACACTTCCCTGGGCAGCCTCTGGGTGAAGAAATATTCAGGAATATCTCATGTAAATCATCCCTGGCTCCAGCCAGGAGGGCTCCAAGGCAGGGTAACCTTGTTATAAATGCGTATCATATTATTGGCTTTTCGCAAGTATTATAATAAATATTATATGTATAAGATTAGAAAATTTAGCTGTAATAATATAGTCTTCTTTATTTCTGTTATTAATGAAACTTAGAAATAGGGGTATAATACATGTATGTTTAAGCTATGACACAGCATTAAAACAAAAACTACTTTTGTTTGTGTAACCCAAAGACTGAAAAAGACAGCTGGAGACTTTTTTTTTCTTTTGTAATCTTATCCAGATGAAGACAGCAGTGACCAGAACTCTGGGGGGGAGGAATTTATTGCATTTCTGGTATCAGGGTATGTAAATCTCGATGGTGCTAAGAGGATTGATCTATTGGGAAGGGGGCAAGAGAAAACTAAACAGAAGAACACCAAAGATCCTAAGAAGAATGTATGAATATGTATGGGAATTTATGGATATGTAGTAGGATTCTGTTTTTAAGGGGCAATCCTTTGTTAGTAAGGTGTGCTCTCTTAGCTGAATGCAGAGACACCCGGTCGTATTTGTATACTTTATTTTTTTATCCTAATTTTTTTTTTATTAAATTTTTAAATTCTATAAAAATTATGTGAACCTCGTTTTTCACAACCTGGAGCAGGTGACACAGGAACTCGTCCAGGTAGCTTCGGAAAGTCTCCAGGGAAGGAGACTCCACGCCCTCCCTGGCCAGCCTTTTCCAGCTCTCTGCCGCCCTCAGCGGAAAGAATTTCTTGCTCATTTTTGAGGGGGAACTTCTTATGTGGACGTTTATGTGTTTTAACTGCAAACCTGCAACTAATTGTCACCCTCCCGCTTCGCCCTGTGACCTGCCAGGACCTGCTGGGTCCTGGCAGCACCGCGCTGTTTCGCCCCATCCCGGCAACTCCTGCCCGCGCTTCCCGCACCTCCCCCGGCCCCTACCCGAGCCGCGTTCCCGAGGGCACCGGGAGGGTGGCTCGGCTGTCCCCGTTTTCTCCTGGGCAGCGGCGGCACCGGAGATGCGGCCCCGGAGATGCGGCCCCGGCTCCCGCTCCGGGCCCGACGCGGTGCCCGTGGCAACGGGAGCGCGCGCGCGCGCCCTTCCCC